ATGGGACAAGCAATGACAGGCACCCCATGAAACTGTAATAAAGGACCTTCTCTGCAAGTCCCCCATCAATGATCCCAAAAGCTTTGCATTCATTGATCAGAGCAACAGAGGTAGGAGCTAGTTCATATCTTGCTAAACATTTGGGTTCCATGATCTTCTGGGAGTTGAAGTCCAAGAACATCTGGAGGCCCAAGGTTGGGGGCCACTGGTCTAGACAGCATCTTAAAAAGCAGAGACATCACCTAGCTGACAAAGGTCTGCATAGTCAAAGCTATGGTTTTCCCAGTAGTGATGTATGGAAGGGAGAGCTGGATCATAAAGAAGGATGACCACCGAAGAATTGATGCTTTTGAGTTGTGGTGCTGGAGGAGACTCTTGAGAGTCCCCTGGACTGCAGGGAGAACAAACCTATCAATTCTAAAGGAAATCAACCCTGAGTGCTCACTGGAAGGACAGATCCTGAAGCTGAGGCTCCAATACTTTGGCCATCTCATGAGAAGAGAAGACTCCCTGGAAAAGACCCTGATGTGAGGAAAGTGTGAGGGCAAGAGGAGAAGGGGACGGCAGAGGATGAGATGGTTGGACAGTGTCATCGAAGCTACCAACATGAATTTGACCAAACTCCAGGAGGCAGTGGAAGACAGGAGGGCCTGGCGTGCTCTGGTCCATGGGGTCATGAAGAGTCGGACATAACTTAACAACAAAACAACAACAAAAATTTGGGAAGGCAATATGACTTACTACCAATCCAAGAGCTAAAAACATTTTTTAAAAATCAGGAAGACAGAACATCCAGGGAAGGAGGGCGGAATACCCTTGGAGAAGTGTCTCTTTCCAGGCTGCTGCACTGGAGTTGGTGCTGTCTTAGGGCTTCATCCAATAAGTAAAAGCAACATTTAGATCCCAAAAGTAGGACTCTGATGGCCCCACTGTTAGGTTACAGGGAGCAGATTTTGCATGTCAGGGAAGGTCAGCATGTGTTACTTTTGTACCTTGTTATTTTTATATTTTTACTGTCAAAATAGGCTTAATGTGTCAAAATAACTTATTTGCTTAGTTCAGAGGATGATGTCACTTTATTTGGGGATCTTGTGTGTGGAGGGGTTCCCTTTGTTCTTCTGTCCCAGGCAGGAAAATGCTTCGGGCAGTCCTTGCCAAGAGGAGATTCAAACAGGGCAGTGGGGGGTAGATGTCCAGACTCTAAAGTGCCCTAACCCATCACTACCCTTTTCCTTGGGTTTTAGGGGAAGAGGGCACAGCAGATAACCCATTTGACTGGAGTCACATCCAAAGTTACCTGGAGATGTTTTTAGAGGGAGCAGTTGGAATTGTTTCTGTCCTGAAACAATTCCAGGACAAAATTGTGAGCCAGAGTACCAGGCAGTATTTTCTTTGATAATCTGAGATAAATCCCATATCCTTCAGGTCTATGACTATTTTGTCTCCATTTTACTTATTTATTTGACTAACCTGAGTTAATGAGTGATTCCTGATTACCCTACTGAAAACGTCAGGTTTAATTGTTCCTTAATCTTAGTCATTACTTTTAACTGAAATGACTATTGACAAGTTGCTTTCCTTAGTTTACACCAAGAAAGCTGTGAGACCTTATGCTCTGAGGCCACTCTTTCTCCGAAGAGATCTTAAACAGATGTGCTGTAATTAGGTGGCAGCTACAATGGCCCAGAGAACTGCCAGGGTTTCACCCATCCTGCAGGCTTGCCCTTTCCCCAACAGTGTCACGGATCCTATGACTATATCAGCCACCTTTTCCTTCAAGAGGTTTATGAACTGAGGAAGATTCATTTCAAAACACTTGTTAATCTTTAAAGAAAAAACAGGATGCAATCACTTTTCTCTCGCCACACCTTCCAAGTAGGCAGTCCCATTTTATGAGGGAGTAGCAAGTTTCTTTTCGCTTTAGAGGCTTTGACAGAGGGGAGCCCACAAAGGGATTTAACACACATGAAGATGGAGGGACCATTGAAAGAGAGAATGGGTAGGCAGGAGGAAGGTTTCCTTTACCTTCCCCCAAGACTCAAGAATCTTTGGCTCTCCAGGTCCTGTTGGACTCCAACTCCCATCAACCCTAGCCAGCAAAGCCAGTGGCGACAGACCCACAGTCATGTGTACGGCATTGTATGGCTGAAATGAGGATTATACCATGTGTTTCCTGAAGGTTATGATCTGCAAAAGCTCCTGCTCAAGTACATGTGCTTCAAGGTACCACAGGGCTCCTTGCTGGGTTTTTTTCCCCAATAGGAAAAGACTTTTTCTCACCTGTGGTTGCTGGGGCCACACAGGATCCAACGCTGGCACCCCATAAGATGGCAGACATCTTTTTTGTTTTGATAGATGAGAGTTTTAAAGTGGCCCAGGATGTCCAAAAGAGGAACGACTCCGGTATCTTGGACAATTCTAAGGACAAGGGAATCTCAGCGGGTGTGACCTATACAAGTTCCATGTGTGTTTTTATTTTTTATTTATACCCCGCCCATCTGGTCTTGCGACCACTCTAGGCGGCTTCCAAATACTTTTTTCTTATTATTATTCTGTACCTTTATGAAGAAGACCTGAAGACAGCAAAGTCCTGTCTGTTCTACCAAAGTGTTGCTGTCCTCTGAAGATGCCGGCCACAGAGACTGGCGAAATGTTAGGAAGAACAACCTTCAGAACATGGCCAAAGAGCCCGAAAAACCCACAACAACCAAAGTGTTCCAAAGTTTTGGATTCTTTGGCTGAAATGAGTAGTAAGTTGTACCTAGGTTAGGCCCATTGAATCAGTAGAACTGACAGAGGAGTTGACTCACCAAATCACCCCTGGTTCAATGGGCTACTCTAGAGGTGACTTAACTAGTGCATTTACAAGTCTCTGTGTCCTGCACATGCAGTGGTTAAGAGATATCACTGTACATCTGGTTAGTCTTGCTTGTTTATTCTGTTTTACATTAAGAAGCCCAGGATATACAGTATTTATGCAATCTAATCATTAAGAACCCAGCAACATATGCTAGAACTGGACACAAGGGTTTTGCAGAAATGCACTTTGTATCTACGAGGATCGGCTTTATGGTTTGACTTTCACCCCACCCACGTGAGCTGCTAAAACACACTTCATAGCATGTTTGACTTCTGAAAGCAGGGGAGATTAAACCTAACAAGTGAACAAAATGGTTATATATACACAAAAAACTCCATTCTTAATATCCCACATTTATTGTAAAATTGATGGCCACTGAAAAATTAATGACAATGACATGAGCCTATCAAGGAGAGGATAAAAGACTATAACCAGTTCAAGTGCTGGAAAAAGACAATACTCCGATATTTTGTTCTGTATCTGTGATCGTAAAAGACAAAACATGCAAGTAGGAATGGGAAAACATTCCTACTTGTCATTTTTCTTTTCTGTTGCCTTTTGTATTTTAAATGTCACATTCCTTCCTTCCTGTGCAGGAAGATATTTGAATATTTAAATACGTTCTTCAGAAACAAACTAAAACAACATTGTTAACACATCCGCCCTTGGCCAAATTTAACAGATGGAGCTGATCTCAGCATGGAATCCTGCACACCATACTGTATAGGTCCTAAAGATGAGAAGCCTATTAGAAAAAAAGAGGTAGCAACATTAATTCAGCCATAGCACCAATGAAGATAAAGGAATTCAAACACATATTTTAAAGAGTTTAAAAGCCCTAGCATTGGAGAGCCAAATCTACCAGTTTCAGTTTCTCTAAGATTCATTAAAATAAACAAAAAACTCACGTTCTTTCAATCATGAACTCAGTAAGTTTTCAAATGTTAGCAAATCCTTACTTAAAAATCAACTGAAATTAAATGATCATCCACCACTAGCTCCAAGATGAAGAAATCGAGACTGCTGAAACCTGACATACAGACTAAAGGGATTCCAGGGATGTGCATTAGGCATCAGGTTTTTATAATGTATTAATTAATTCTAGTTAATGTACATGTGTACATTTGTTTGAAGTCTGCAGTACCACTTTCAGTTACTATCCCATGCATAGCTTTGAGAAAACTGGTGTCATGTTTTTCAGGCTTATGTCCTTCCTGCCAAGGATCACTGCAGATCCACACTCTGGCCAGGAGGCAGCATGGGAGCAACTGACAGGCAGAAGGCCGGTGTGCCTTTCTAGTGGCCACTGGGACCAGTTGAACCACCAGCTACCACAGCAGCAGCTCACCATGTGTACTAGCAGGAAAAACAGGTTGTCTGGATTCCCCTCATCCTGGCTTTCCTGCTTCCATTTTCAGGCAGCTTTCCAAGAGAGCAGACCTTTAAAACAGTCTGCTTGATAACTCTGGCTAGCATATTTGAATATCAAGCAAAGAAAATTGTGTTTTCTTTGGCATAGCTGTAGACCATCTGAGTCCATTAGATTACTGAGCACACATTTTGTGTCCTTTTAGTGTGACACTGATGCTACAAACCTAACTTTACAAAGTTCTATTGTCAAGTCAGCACTGAAGCATTCTGCATCATTTGTGTCTGGTATAATGCCATCGTCATCAGTTAATGCCACTTGGTTCTGTTGCTCAGGTTCACTTGTAGACGAGAGTAGGTGCCTGACAGTGTCTACAGCTGAAACCCTATTGCCCAGTGCAGTGAGTCACAGCTGGAATAGACTCCATTGAATTCATGGGTATTTGGTGAATCAACTCCTCTGTAAGTTCTATTGATTCAATGTGACTACTCTATTGGTACCTTACTATGCTAAGCAAGGGACTTCAGCCGATGCCAGGATAATTCTTTTGGTTGTACCAGTTAGAGTAGAGAAATCCAGTCCAAAATGCAGCACTTCCTTCTTTGCTGGCTGCACTTATTATGGTGAATGCCCTTGAATACCTTGTTAGTATCTGGGAATTGTTCCCAGTGAGCCTGATAAAATGCATGTGTTTAATTAGCTGTGATAACCACCCACCTAGTCACTTCTAGGTTTACTCTTATTACCTCCTTTTTTTTCTTGTCTTGGCAGCTGGCATTGAAGAATTCTTTGCGTTACTTCCCACCCAGCTTCCATGAAGTCCTGGCACCTGAATTTGCCAAAGAACTGCAAGCCTATGGACATATCTACATGTACAGATTCTGTCCTCAAATTGAAATGAGGTAAGGGCTTTGGGAGCATTCTCCAATATGACAATGAACTGCCAGCCCGATGCTGGGACTGGGAGAGAAGACCATTCCTTTTGGCTTAGCTACATAGTTAGCGTCCAGTGGCAGGCTGGTAAATTTTACAGCACAGAAACAGCAGAAAGTTTTGTGCCACCTTAAAGACAAATGTATAGCATCATACACTTTCCTCAACTCTAATCTACATCTTCAGATGCAAACAAGAGGTGGGCTGGCGTCCATGAAAGCAATAAAAAATTGTAGCAATAAAGCTTGTTGACCTTTAAGGTGATGAAAGGATCTGTTTTGTTTTGCTGGAATGGATTAACATGGTTATCCACCCACACCCTTGCTGGGGGCAGGTGCTCATTGTGACAATCTCTGTCATCACCACCCCTAGGACAGTCTCAACATGAAAGCAGCTATGCTGGTCTGTCTAGGTATGTCTGAATTTTTTCATGAAGATAACAAGACTGGATTGTCCAGTCAAGATCATTATACTATCCTCCAAATACATTTTATTACTTAAAACATGTTGGTTCTGGCAAAACCCATTCCCCAAGATAATGATGCTGAGAAATTCCTAACATTCCCTGCCAGATGCTATGAGGGCTGCAGCTAACCTCAAAGGGAAGTGCCTCTCTCGGCACTGTGTCCCCGTGTTTCCGCCCTGGGAACCTGGGCTGAACCAGTGTCCTGTCACAGCCCATCAGAACTAATGACTGAGAGGCATAGTAATAACCAAGCTGGGCAAGCGAAAGACCACCTGTCCAGAAACAGATAAAACAGGCGGAAAGGTGGAGCAAGGACACAATGCAAACATTGGATAGGATTGAGAAACTGATCTGCCAGTGAACAGGGAGGTGGTTGATTTCTGTGAGCTTGGTCTTCCCACTGAAGAGGTTGCTCAGACTGAACTACTAGACCACTGGCTAAAGCTTAGGGCTGGAGTGAAGAATGTGTAGCTGTCTAGGTGTTGTTCATCTGCAGATCTCCATTGGCCTCATGGTCAGCAAAGGCAATGGACTACCTTGAGAACGGCTGGACTTTACTGGGGCATTATACAGAAATGATTGGGCTCACAAGGATGGTTTAGCTGTGGATTCCCTGCATTGGTTCTGGATTACGTGACCATTGGGATCCCTTTCAACCCTATCATTTTATTATTATTCCGTGATTCCAAGGAATAATGGATGCTGTCCTTCAACCACATCTGGAGGGCCACAAGTTCCCCAGTCATGGCTGAAGGTTTTCTAAGCCACGTGTTGGCTGCTTAGCTGTTGCTCATGCTGCAACTACAGCACATTTTTGTGGACAGTTTCATGGATGGGAGTCCAGTGTATCCCTTCATAAAGCAAACCCACTGTTCCCTTTTCGGGCACATGTTTTGGTGGGTTTTGTGCATAGAATAAGGCATGCAGCTCTGAGAACAACAAACACTATCTAGATATGAATCAATACCAAGAATGTTGATGCCATGAAATTCATATTTATGATAAACTGTGCACACAGATTTCAAAAGCTGCTGTCCTAACACAGCTTGCTTCTATGTGCAGTGATATACAGTATTTCCATCACAATAGGATGGGAACAACCTGTTGCCATAGGGCCATTTGTGGCCCTCCATCTAAGTTCATGTGCCTCCTGCAAATGGTCAGTTCAGACCTCTGGCAACAGCCATCTACCCTTTCGCTGGCAGTCCCATGGGTAGAAGTTCTTCTTCTGAAAGAAAAGAAAGGAAGGCAACCCATCCACTATGGCTGAATGCAATAGAGCCTACAAGGGTATCATGTCAATTCGTAGTGATGGCTAGTCAATGCACAAAAGGTAGAAGAATAAGGCTACCAGTGTCATGCTACACCGAACACACACTATTATCCTGTGGATGGGAGACCACCAGGTAAAACCAGTGATCTCCAGGTAGGGCTAGGAAATAATCCTGCTTTAAACCTTGGAAGTTGACAAAACTGGGCTATAAAGATCAAGAGCCTCACTTAGTGTGAGAAACCTTACTGTGTTCTTAAAGTGCCAGTGATCACCTGGAGATTCTAGAACAGCCAGACTGTTTTTACTGTGTCTCAGTATTTTTGCCCTGTTGTTTATTTAGCATTGCCTATCTGATCCCATTCATCAGTACAAAAATGGGTACTGCTATTTTTAAAAAAGGTGCTGTATATTGTCCCCCGGCTTATTTAACTTATATGCAGAATACATCACGCGGAAGGCTGGACTGGAGGAATCCCAAACCGAAATTAGGATTGCCGGAAAAAATATCAACAACCTCCGATATGCAGATGATACCACTCTGATGGCAGAAAATGAGGAGGAACTAAAGAACCTTGTAATGAGGATGAAAGAGGAGAGTGCAAAAAACAGCCTGAAACTCAACATAAAAAACGAAACAAAAACAAAACAAAACTAAGATCATGGCCACTGGTCCCATCACCTCCTGGGAAATAGAAGGGGAAGATATGGAGGCAGTGACAGATTTTTCTTTCTTGGGCTCCATGATCACTGCAGCAGCCACGAAATTACAAAATGCCTGCTTCTTGGGAGGAAAGCGATGACAAACCTTGACAGCATCTTAAAAAGCAGAGACATCACCTTGCCAACAAAAGTCCACATAGTCAAAGCTATGGTTTTTCCTGTAGTGATGTATGGAAGTGAGAGCTGGACCATAAAGAAAGCTGACCGCCAAAGAATTGATGCCTTTGAATTGTGGTGCTGGAGGAGGCTCTTGAGAGTCCCCTTAACTGCAAGGAGCACAAACCTATCCATTCTAAAAGAAATCAACCCTGAGTGCTCACTGGAAGGACATATTCTGAAGCTGAGGCTCCAGTACTTTGGCCATCTCATGAGAAGAGAAGACTCCTTGGAAAAGACCTTGATGTTGGGAAAGTGTGAAGGCAAGAGGAGAAGGGGACGATAGAGGATGAGATGGTTGGACAATGTCATCGAAGCAACCAACATGAATTTGACCCAACTCCGGGAGGCAGTGGAAGATAGGAGGGCCTGGCGTGCTCTGGTCCATGGGGTCACGAAGAGTCGGACACGACTAAACGACTAAATGACAATGATTTTAAAAACAAAATTAAAATGATTTCCTAACCTGGCAAGGAATTTCAATTTTTCTTTTTCTCCATCATATGGAGAGTTAATGGATAAGTGTCCATGAGGATGGATCCAGCTGCTAAAATGATTTCAAATGGAGGATCTGAAACTAGTCCATGGGTCCCTGATTATCTTAGCTGGCTGTCCCAGTTTTCCTGTTGAATGATTTTCCATATGTGGAGAGAGACCAGCTATTCAAAATCAATAGGCAAATGCAGCTATTTTCCTCCTGAAATGTGACATGGTGAAACTCATAAGCACACTCATTGACTTGCAACATTCTTTAGCTTTTTGATTATTGAAAAATATGAATAGCATTTTGTAACTGATTAATTAATGTGACGGGAATATAGTTTGACGAGGACCCACGAAGCAACCTGAACACTCAGTGTGAGAATTTTGCTAAACTAATAATTTCCTGAAATATCAGTATCATAAATTTAATGGATAGAAGCTGTGCTTTTGTTTCTGGATCTCAGTACAGTTTTGCATCCAAACTGCATTGTTGTACAGCAGAGCAAATCAACATTCTGCTTTTTTAAAAAAGTGACCAAACTGATATTACTGTTCTTTCAAGTGTGTTTTCATTTTAGGGTTTCTTTGCCTTTCTTTGAGATAAATTGGAAATAAATTAATCCAAATTTGCAGTTTCAGAGAAAGTTTTGGGACAGTTACTTTTCACTTTATAAATTTTATATATTTTCATTTCAGAGCTTACCCCATCCAGGAATATCCTTGCAAAACCAGACAGGCTGCTGCAATAATGCACATGATCATGAATAATCTTGACCCTGCAGTGGCACAGGTAGCAAACATTCAATGACTACTAAGTCCTGGAAAGAACCAATAATGTTGATGGCAATACATTGTTTTTTTGTTTTGGAAAATAAGACCGTTTCAGTTGCTCATGGATCAGGTCCAGCTCTAACATTAGGCAGACTGTGGCAATCTTCATTAGAAGGAGAATAGCTGGCCCTCAGTCCTCTATGCTGACCTGGTGCCTTCACCTGTGATGTGAAATGCTGTCCTATGTTGAAGTTGGGTTTGATGATCAGTTCATTAAGGGTACAGTGGTGCCTCGCTAGAAGATGATAATCCGTTCCACTGAAATCGCTGTTTAGCAAAATTATCATTTAGCGAAAAGCATTTCCCCATTGGAATGCATTGAACCCTGTTTAATGCGTTCCAATGGTGAAGAATCGTCGTTGTCTAGCGAAGATCGGCCATAGGAAAGCCACTTTGTGAACCGCCGATCAGCTGTTTAAATAGCTGTCTTGTGATGCTTAGGTCCTGAAAACACCCATTTTGTGAGTGTGGAGGGAGCTGTCAAAATCGTTGTCTAACGAAAATCAGTTTATGAAGCAGGGACCAAACATTGTCCAGCGAAATTCCCCCATAGGAATCACTGTTTTGCGAATCGCTATAGCGATTGCAAAAAGCCAATGTCTAGCGAAAAAACTGTCACACGGGGTAACTGTCTAGCAAGACACCACTGTATCTGGAAAAAGGGTGCCGTATTGTTCTATGTTTCAGTCAGAAAAATGTTCTACACTAGCCTTGTCATTACCCTCTTTTCTGATATAAAGAGAGTAATTCCTCTGTGTGCTTGCTTTGTTTTACAGGGTCACTTTATGGATTGCTGTGATAATGTCTAGGGAGATTTTAGTACTGGGAAAGAATGCTGTTTTGGTTTCGTTTGGGTAAAAATGTACCAGTTTCAGTGTATTATGATATGAATGATGTGGGGGATTACATACTCCACTCCATTTGAGATTAAAATCCTGTTATTGAATTAGAAAGGGGAAATGCTGAAATCACCGTAAAAGAACTGTTTTAAAATATTTTATGGGAGCACTGTTTAAAATGGAATTTCAAAATGTGCCTGTTGTAGTTTCCCCAGGAACTTGTAACGTATGGAGGAAATGGACAAGTTTTCAGCAACTGGGCCCAGGTAGGAGGATCTTTGTATATTTTCTGGTATGAATAGTGTGACCGTACCCATAGCTCACCAGTCTTCTGTTAGACTTTGTCTACTATTTATTTATTTA